CCATTTTCTGGTCTTTTTCGTCCTTTTCTTATTACTTTGATCTTGGTGGATCTTCATGGTACTATAGGTCCAAACAATTGTTACACAATAGGAATAAGTAAATTGAAATAGTTAAACTTTGCGCAAGGACTATGAGCTGCAGTGTTATTTTTGTCCATTTTGTCGACCGATTATTTTTAGCAGTGCATCAGACCATATCCGAATCCGGCTGTCGTATGAAAGGTCTGAAAGAATGTCGTCCAAAAGGGCCGAAGCGATAAGGGAGGGAACACAGACTTGATAGTGTGCCACCCAAAATATTACAGTTGTCGAGCCTCTTCTCCTTGAAATAAGAACGTCTCCATTATACGAGTTTACATCTCTGTGATATATAGGCTGAGCCAACAGCGGAGCCCTGCCAGAATCCAGTCGCACTCCCATTGACCGATCCTTTGATATATTTTTTTCTGCGTGTTAAAAAATGGAATTTCTTACACAGGAATTTAGCGATGGCCCCTGGCCACATATGCCTCGAGTCACGTGGACAAGAGGCAAAAAAACGTATTCTGTCGTTTCTAACAAAAGACCGACAGAGAATGGGGGTTCTCTAGCAAACAAAAGTGTCACTTCCGCAATCCCCACCCCCTTCGAGAGTAGCCGGACCCCTCAGACAGTGGCCTGGTAAATATTGGGAAATATGGCGACCTAACATAGATACAACAAAATGTCTGAATTGGTGGTGCTGGAACAAAATGGTCGTTTAAAAATCGTCCAACGATACATGATAAATACCGTAAATCCTAGAATTGACGCCTGGGGCGCCAATTTCAAATTTAGGAGAAGACGGGGGGCGCTTATTCGAGGGAGGCGCTTAATCGAGGAGGGGGGACGCTTATTTGATTTTTCCCAAATCGTGGCCTGACATGATCATTCTTGTCATACGACATCTGCGGGTAAACAACGACAAAAGCTGTTTATTAACATAAAAAGCTGATCTTTAAGTTTAAATCGCGGCAACGTTAGTACTTAAACGTGTTCACTAAACGTGTTCACAAACTGAAACGATGTACAAATCTAATACTACATGACGAAAACTATACTCTTCCACAAAATGGGGGGGAGGGGAGGGGGACGCTTATTCGAGGGGGGA